AGAAGAGAGCTGAGCCCATCAGCTGGTCCTGGAAGTCAGCGTTGATCTTCCAACTTGTCTGCAATTGTATCTTCCCCAAAATTCCTTCTCAGTTGAGCTATTCTTATACTATTTCCTTACTGTCAGGTGGAGTGGTACTAATCTTAGCTCTCTCTGTTGCAACTGTGTGACAGAAATTTGAGAAGCTGCCAGCTCGGGATGACTGCTATGCCGTTTCTCAGTTCCACGGTAGCACCAAGCTCCCATCCCTGCAATCCTGTCACAGAGCCGGGATGCAGAGTTTTACACCTCACTCCACCTTTTGTGCTGGACCTCTTGTACCTGGCCTATAAAGCTCCTCTGGTGCTGCTAACAATCTACATTTTGCAGGTCTTAATGCTGCTTGACGGACCATCATGGAACAGACTCTTTGCATATTCACTTCATTCCACCTCGGAGGTTCGTTCAATCCTATTCTTCTTTTAAGAGGCAAATATCCCAGTAGGTTACTCTCAATAAATACTCCACATAATCCATCCCATCAGTACAGTCACTCAAGCTTCTCCATATTGGAAAAAATTGCAATCTTTTCTCGGAATTAGAGCTCAAGGGAGTCATGGGCTGTGAGATGATTAGCTCATAGTCATAGTATTTAGCAGGATAGTGTTATTAGTTCTGAGCAAGGCCTTGGGCATAAGGCCAGTCCATTGCAGAATGCTGAGGGCAGGAAGGAGCACACTGCTACACCTGCATCACACTGCAGAGGCAGCAGGAATGCCACAACAAATGAGACGTCTGCTCTTTGACCAAACCCCTGATTACTGGGTACAATAAAAATGTGAAAAAAAGTTTTCTATGGCTTTATCCTGCATTTCTTGTGTGTAACACGGACCATCACCATTCTCCTCTACCATGGCATCTATCATGTCGATGAGCTCTGCAACCTGCTGATCCCTCGCCTCTCCTGTGGCTTTGTTGTTGAAAGCGATGTACCGATTTCTGTACTTTGCTGCCAAACCTCTGAGGAATTAGCTACCTTGTATAAAATTTATCACATCTCCTGGATCCGTCAGCTCATCTGCTCGGGTGAATAACAGGATTGTATACCTCTCTCCTTCAGTATGGAAAATTCTGGACAGCCACTCAATGACTTGCTCTACATCTTTACTGATTTGACCCAGCCGCATCACCAGGATGATGGCATGGACACCTTCATTCATGCATCTAAGACCATTCTTAATCTTATCTGCTGTTCTTCTACTGATATCCATACTGTCAAAAACAACAGGAGTGTCGATAACAAGAATTTTTCTACCACGAAAGCTGCCTTCCTGAACTTCGGACACTTGGGTTGCCTCGTCGAATGAACAGCCAGATTTAAATTTGTTCTCTCCAAGGATGGTGTTCCCTGTCGCACTCTTCCCACTCCCCATCTTGCCCACCAGCAAGATTCTGCGAGTGAATCCTGGGGGAACAAGCAGAGAAGTGTGTGAGCGTTGTGGCAGAGCTGCCCGGGGCCACAAGGAAAGGTGTCC